TTCCCTCTTTCTTCTTCTTATATTAATCACCACACGAAAAAAGCGTCTCTTCGTCCTATGACTCTCTCTTCAACGATCATTCTCATCGGGGGTACCTCTCGATTCTCTCCGCAGAGTTCAGTCTTATCTCGTCGATCGCTGCTCCCATCCGGGTCACGTCATCTGCGCGGCGTTAAAGCCCCGTCTTCTCGCGGGCGCGGCGAAGTGCTGGGGATTCGCAGCGATCTGAAAGTGCTGAACGTACGGATTGTTCCTGAGGACGTTGCCGCCAGGCGAGCCGGCCGAGTACTGAGGCGCGACGGTAATTATACCGGTCTGCTGCAGATATTGTTCGCGATAGAGCGCTTGCTGCGTCACGTATTCACCGTTCACCGGATTCTGGCCGACGTAATGGATCTTCTTCGGCTGCTGTTGTTGCTCGGTGGTGCTCACGACCGAGCAACACTCCTTACCGTAGCTGTCCTGAACGTAGCGCGACCCGATCGGCGACGCGCAGCCACCCGGCGGAGTGGTCGTCTTCACGCTCTGGGTCGGGCTCTGGGTGATGGACTCGAGCACGTGCCGCGGCATATTCGGCGACGGACAATAGTGGCCACTATCTTGCAGTCCGTCCACACGATTCGCGTTACGCACGAAGATCGGGGCGCTCTCCGGCCTGCCGCCCACTATATTTCTCATACCCTCGCGGTCCTTGGCGCTCAGGTTCTGACGGGGGCTGTTCAGCGCGGACGCGCGGCTCTTCTGATTAGACGGCAAGGAGGTACTGTCCAAATCGGAGACGCTGGACCAGGTCACGCTGGCCAGCTCCCAGCGGCGAAGCAAACTGGACACTCGCTCAGCTCGATTAGTCGTATCGAGGCTCTCGTCATAATCCGGACCCTGAAATTTGACAAAGAGCTTTTTAATAAACAGAGAGAGAGAGAGAGAGAGAGAGAGAGAGAAGGGAGGATGGGGAGAGAAGAGAAAAAGCAACTGACGTTTTACGAGAGATGGCTGACATTATATTTTAGTATTTGCCGAGGAAGAAAATAGGGCGGAGCGCGCACGAAGATCCGAGAAGCAAGTATCGCGATAGTCTAATTAAACTTTCAAAAAGATGAAAGGCTGCGCGATGAATAGCGTGAACTTTTTTCATCAACCACGTGTAATTTTGGCGAGTGCTAATTCGCGATCGAGTGCTTCTCTGATTAAACTTCCATCACGTGCTCGTCACTCCGCAACGAAAAGATATCCGTGCTAATAATTATGCGGAAGTCGTTTTCTAGTATATTTGAAATCTTTCTAATCTACTCGTATCCTTGATATGACGCGACTTTTCGATTAAAATTCTTTTGTCTTACTCGGAGTTTATTGCAAATTGTTTCACGATGAAAAAGAACTCGGGTGAAACGCTCATCGATCCAGCGTGGCTTATAAAAGATTCTTTGTACAAAAGCGACAAAGAAGAAAGTAATCTATACCCGGCGTGTGAATTTCGAACAAAAATAGACATGCAATCAATAAGAAAAAAGATTTCAAGAAAAAGAACTATGGCGATTATTTAGGCAAAGTCGAGCAGATATTCGAGTACATTAATTGTGTCAAATAAATATAATATTTATATAATATCTTTTTATCACAAAATGTGTGATTTGTATGATTTCTTGCAAATAGTAGTCAATTAAACGCGCTTTAGCAAGCTTTCAAAGTTCTGAATAATTGAGTAATTAAATAAAGCGAATAATTTATTTTCACAACATTTCACGTTTTCGCGTTTTCCAATTCCATATCATCATATTGTTTGTTAAAATAATTATATTATAAATGATATAATACTTAAATAGAGCTTCCACAATTTTGCTCGATTCAATCAACAAACGATTTTCAAAATACGGAGTTTAATATTTCTCGATATTTAGTATGATTGTCTTAATTAAATTAATTATGCGTGTAATTGTAATATATATATCTAACATATTTTATATTTAACATTTTTTTTTTTTCATATTGCATTATGAAGATAGGAAAGTAATATAAAAATATTGTAACGGACGTATTCTTCTACGAGACATATAATATCGCGGAGATAGTTATCTCTAGATTTCCTACAAAATCGGCTTATATTGTTCTTCGAGAGAAGAGATTGAAGAAGGAAACAGGAAATTACTAGTATTCCCATAAATAGAAACCATTTCTATCCGGATGAGATTGATCAAGTTCAAGTATCGCGACTTACGTTCTCAATTTTCTCGTCGAGCATCTTGAAGAAATCAAGCTGGCTGGTGGATATCTCTCTGAAAAATTCACAATACGCAGGAAGGTCAATCATATGCGATAAATTATTTGTACCAAGTATAATCTTGGCGGTAATAAGCAAACGTAAGCTGTGTATAGCTATAAGACTACTTATCGCGATGTATTAACAAGTAGACGTATGTAAATTATATTAAGAATTATACTATAGGAATCTAGCGGAAAAAATAAAATATTTTTGGAAAAATAAAAAAATACTTATTTTTTCATCTTCTGTTTTAATCATTTTTTTTTTTTTTGCACAATTTTTAATTTTATTATGGAAAATGTATAATTTTTAACAAAAAAAGCATGTGTCTATTTGCTTAAAAAAATATACACATTGTTAAAAAGTATCTTAATTTCCGATTCGCTAGGGGTTCCCCTATATATAATTCCTTTAATAAATTACCAATTACGCACACGCTTGGGGCGAAAGCTAAACTGTAATAATTAACACGACTGCTCAAGCTTTTTGCAGGAGAAGCGGTTTAGAATATCAACAACAAGTGTACATATAACTTTCAGTGCATGTTGTTTTGACAACTGCCGTCATATATATAGCTATTACTTACGTAACAACATGTACTTTAGTAGACGACTAACAGTTTCTCTAGCAAGATTTTGAATTGTAAGAAGTTTAAACAAGGGCATATATTAATACTACATTTTTGACGAAGCTTTCGAAACTCGAATTACATACGCGCTCTCTCAAAATAAGCTTTCCGTGTGCAAATATGTGCAAGTCTGTAGCAAATGCTTGTAGTTATATAATTATAGCGAACGGTTTAAACTTCTCCGTGCTAATGTCAATTTATCTGAATTAAGTGTTAAGTTCTAAACAAGGTTCTCTCAATATCGCGTTCCGTTGAGACAAATACAAAATACGAATTCTATTAATGATCTTTACCAAGTCACCTGTAGTCACTCTGCCATAAAAAATCTGAATGTAATATATGATTCATAAATAAATTAAAATAAATTCAAAACGTTTAATCGAGAAAAATCTACTATAGTTTCGGATTAAATGTTAATCTCTGCGAAGTAATTTTTTAAAATAATTCTTACGTCTGTTGTAATAAAGGCCCGCCCCCAGGCGCGGTCGGTTTCTTCTTTGCTTGTCCCTTGGCATCGACGCCACCATTTTGGTCCTCGTTTCTGTTCACCTCGACACCGTTGTTGTTCGTCTTGTTACCCTTGACGTTGCCATTTCCGTTCTTCTGCTCCACAGACGACGCGTTACCTGAAGCACGAAAAAAAAAATAAAGAGACGTCAGTGGCGGCGCGACGAAAGAATACGCCATTTAAGATTATCATCCGAGATTAAGGACCGTAAATATCCTGACTTGAATATATAATGTCCTTCGTCGCGTCTCGACAAGTCCTTCGTCTTATACGTTCAATAACATCCGTCCACCGTCAGCGACTCGGCAATTTCCCGCCCGCATTTTTATCGTAGATTACAACGGTAAATGTGACATAATGTCGGAAAAATTATGGGAGTTAACGCGACATTATACGGCTTTTTTTTTTTTTGCACAATTTTTAATTTTATTATGGAAAATGTATAATTTTTAACAAAAAAAGCATGTGTCTATTTGCTTAAAAAAATATACACATTGTTAAAAAGTATCTTAATTTCCGATTCGCTAGGTTCCCCTATATAATTCCTTTAATAAATTACCAATTACGCACACGCTTGGGGCGAAAGCTAAACTGTAATAATTAACACGACTGCTCAAGCTTTTTGCAGGAGAAGCGGTTTAGAATATCAACAACAAGTGTACATATAACTTTCAGTGCATGTTGTTTTGACAACTGCCGTCATATATATAGCTATTACTTACGTAACAACATGTACTTTAGTAGACGACTAACAGTTTCTCTAGCAAGATTTTGAATTGTAAGAAGTTTAAACAAGGGCATATATTAATACTACATTTTTGACGAAGCTTTCGAAACTCGAATTACATACGCGCTCTCTCAAAATAAGCTTTCCGTGTGCAAATATGTGCAAGTCTGTAGCAAATGCTTGTAGTTATATAATTATAGCGAACGGTTTAAACTTCTCCGTGCTAATGTCAATTTATCTGAATTAAGTGTTAAGTTCTAAACAAGGTTCTCTCAATATCGCGTTCCGTTGAGACAAATACAAAATACGAATTCTATTAATGATCTTTACCAAGTCACCTGTAGTCACTCTGCCATAAAAAATCTGAATGTAATATATGATTCATAAATAAATTAAAATAAATTCAAAACGTTTAATCGAGAAAAATCTACTATAGTTTCGGATTAAATGTTAATCTCTGCGAAGTAATTTTTTAAAATAATTCTTACGTCTGTTGTAATAAAGGCCCGCCCCCAGGCGCGGTCGGTTTCTTCTTTGCTTGTCCCTTGGCATCGACGCCACCATTTTGGTCCTCGTTTCTGTTCACCTCGACACCGTTGTTGTTCGTCTTGTTACCCTTGACGTTGCCATTTCCGTTCTTCTGCTCCACAGACGACGCGTTACCTGAAGCACGAAAAAAAAAATAAAGAGACGTCAGTGGCGGCGCGACGAAAGAATACGCCATTTAAGATTATCATCCGAGATTAAGGACCGTAAATATCCTGACTTGAATATATAATGTCCTTCGTCGCGTCTCGACAAGTCCTTCGTCTTATACGTTCAATAACATCCGTCCACCGTCAGCGACTCGGCAATTTCCCGCCCGCATTTTTATCGTAGATTACAACGGTAAATGTGACATAATGTCGGAAAAATTATGGGAGTTAACGCGACATTATACGGCGCTTTGTCACGCGAGGAATTCTCAAGGAGGTCACGAATTCCTTTATTAAGATGCGGGTAAACAATGAAATTACGACCTGTAATGACGTATTTAACTGGCATATATTATTATAGAACAGCGTATTAATACGAATCGTTTTCATACAGACAATTGAAAATTAGCTTTGGCAAAACAGAAATATATTCTCTGATCCAAGAATATGTATATTCAAATATATATATTTTTTTTCATGAAAATAAAATTAAAAATTGAAATAAAATTAAAATAAGTTCTTTTTATAAAAAACAAATATCAAGTATAAGTTTTATCAATTAATTAAGTTTTATCAGAGTAATTTTCTATCCGATAAAGATCATATATGTAAGTTATAATCCAATTACAAAATTATTGTCTAATCTCTCGCGTAATCGCAATAAGCGCCATTATTAGCTTCCTCACGTTCACTTCTTCTCGCATTATTGTTATTAGTGTGAAAAATATTTCGCTGAAAAAAAGAAAGGCGTGTAAGATACGGAGCGGATGGCAAAGTTCAACCGTACGATCTCATAAACACGTTTAATCTTATCGACAACAAACAACCATTTTGACACTTTAAAGAACCCCGTCGCCGCCACCGGCGTTCATCACGAACACGAGTAGAATATCGTGAACCGAAATAGACCTGTCGTTAGCTTAGCGAGAGAACGAACCGCGTTTAGGGAGTTAACTAAAAATAAATTGCGCCAGCGATTGGAGGAGTTGGAAATAGAGTAACGCGCGCGTATACAATTTTCAGCGATATCGACTGCGACGCGCGCCCGAAATAGGATAAACGCGAAGTATCTGGAGCACGATAATCGTATCATCGCCGGTCTAGAATTAAAATTAGTACGCCGATTGGTATGAGTGAAGTAAAGACGCGATGTAATAGTTTCGGCACAATCGAGCGCGCTAAGTAAGTGCCACAGGTGTTCAACGCGCGTACGAATTTCGATAATTTATTTCAAACGAGGAAGGAGACACAAGTTGCAGTTCGGCACAAGTATGGCTGCGAGCCAGACATTATAAAGTGAAGCACCTGTGGCATTTGGCCAATTAATTAAAAATTGCTAGTCAAATACTAGCCGATTGTGTGTGCCAAAACTATTCTAAATTGAAATAAAAAGATTATCAAAAAATATTAACTATTATGTCGAATTAATGGCAATTTGTATATAAACTAAATGATATTCTTAAATATATGTATGTAGCGTTTATTACATTCGTAAAATTAATTTATTGCGCACGAACAACGAGATTATTATTTTGTCATTAAATTTATCCCGCAGATAAAAACGTGTCAGAATCATACTTTGATAATCGCAGCGGAGACATAATACACTTTCGCTCGCGTTCACGAGCGATTTCGTGCGTTGGAGCGAACCTAAAAAGTTCTTTAGCTGGTCATGTCGCGGCCTCTGCTCTCGGCTAGGAAATTATTCTGTAATTTATGTGCACGCACGCCGCGCATATGATGCAACCTTTTGCGGCAAATCGAATTAGAGCGCGTTTCAACTCTCGGAGCGCGACGCGAAAAATGCTATCGTGAACCACGATAATCGAGACGCCCACACGCATCTCCATTGAAACGCACTTAATTTCTATGGAACAGCGTAATTGGCAAAGTGCATTGTTCTCGACTGATGAGTTTAATGCTCCAAGGGCCAATCGTATTATCGCGGTGTAATTACGATTAATAGTATAAGCTTGGTAATTACTAAATTTGTCTCGTGTAACACGATAATAATAAATATAATTTATCGTCGTATAATTTATATTATGTATCGATATGACATCGAAATAGTAAAATCGAAAACGATAATAATATAAATTAACACGAGATTAAAATCATGACGCTTATTATCCGCCAAGTAACTCTAGAACGTCGACACTCGATCCGAGATAACGATCTTTTTTTACGGCGATGACACTCACGGCGCGATATATCGCCGCGACACGCAAGTAGCAGTTCCCCATTCATTGGCACGCGAAGCCGCGGCAAAAGGAGAATGAACTCGCATCACAATGGAACACAAATAACTCTCTTTCTCTCTATTCGCGACGCGCGCGCGAATGACAACAAGATGCGTCGTCGTGAGAGATGCACGTGTGCGGAGCCGTTAGGTGGGTGCAACAAAAGCACGGGCGTGAGATAGCTGTCATCTCGAATTACGCTTATCCCATACAATTGCGAAATTTACGCCTCGCTGCGATAGTCTCATATACAGAGTGTTTGCATTTGGAAAAGTACTTCTTCTGGAAGTCTATCTCTCTCCTTACAATTAGTGGAAAATTTGATTGAACGCGGCCCAATTAAATCATTTGATGACCAAAATCTGTTCTCGATCGCATTATCCAAATATAACTATTCTAATCTCGTAATATATTGAAAGAAAAATGATATTCAAATAATTTACGATAAATACTTGATGGACGTATCTCTATTAAGATTGCGCCAAATACTGTTAAATTAACTAAACTGTTAATTAACTAAAACAACTAAATTCGGAAGAACAAAATTTTTTTTTTTTAACTATTTATATTAAAAGAATTTAAATTTAATTTGCTAAAAGAATTATAACATTGATTCTCACCAATTCTCCTTCGCGTTTATATTTCGAAAGACATTTGCACATTTGTTAGCTATTTCCTTTCGAAAATCTATCTATGCTTTCATGAAAATGTATACGTGTTTTTGGAGACATTTCATATACAGAAATGATAAAATATAGTGAAACGTAACAAATGTGAGTGCGTCAAAGTAACGTAATGCAACAGTCATGTTGCGTCGCACAAATGGAGATATTTTTAACGATACTCGCACCCACGGGATTATATTGCGTTTCGCGTATCAGTTGATAACGTGTAGCCGTGGTGGCGACGAAGGAAGAATCTCGCCCATTCGTATCATAGTTATAAATAAACTGATTCGCACGCTTATACGGACCCGAGCCGCAAGGAAATACATCTCCCTGGAATTTCAATGAAGATAATGAACAAATTAATTAAAAAATGCCGCTTCGCCGCCTACGAGCGTTAGATAATAGAATAGTTTGTTGTTAATACGGGATCTTTTATGTAATATGTTCTTAAAATAAATATACTACTAATAATAAAAAAAAGAAACGTCAGTTATAAGAACGTCAAATATCGAATTTGGAATAGTTGTTAATATATTGTTATTATATGTATATAATACACTTGTATAAAATAAATTTTATAAAATATAATAATAAAAATAAAAAAAGAATCAGGTTTCAGAACATTTGTAAAAAAATTGCTACATTTAAATTATAATAACAGTTATGAAAGAGATTAATTTAAATGATATTTATATTATATGCAATTTTTTTTTGTTAGATTGAAACCATTATATTTATCCCATTTTATTTTCACGAGTATTTCAATCTTCTTCAATTAAAACAAAATTGTATTCATACCATTTTATTTTCACGAGCATTTCGATCTTACAATTAATCTGACATTAAATTTTTCAATTGCAAAAAACGATTAATTATTAGACTTCCAGGATTATATATTTTTTTAATTTCTTTATAATAAGATCTTTCGAGATGGAACTGAAATATTAATAGATTAATTCACATTTTTGAACAGAAAAATATACTATCAAAAAATAAAATATCATGCACATAATAACGATAACATGTGTATGTATTCTCCTCAAATTATTAATTTCAATAAACGGATTAATATTATCGAATATTTTATTTTTAATTTAAAAACTATCAAAATTACTCAATATAACAATCAATTTACATTGCACTTGAGATATTTTACAATAATTCGAATAATATTGTATAATTTATTTGCTTGTAATCACACACATTGATTGTTACAAGTGTTTAGAGAAATGTTCATAACGTTATCAGAAACATGCAAATTTCCCCTCTGTTGAAGTTGATTCATCCAATCACGCATGAGATGCAATTCACGTGGATTGTATGTTCCGTGGCAATTGTCCAGATATTTTTCCAAACAC